ATCATTTTTGCCTCTTTTATTTTAGCTACTTCAAGGAAGTGAAATATCCTGCTATTTTCATGCTTGTTTTGATACTTGGGCTCTTGTGCTTCTTGGATGTTGACTGTTAGAGCAGACAATGTTTTCACCTTAGGTCAAAACCTCATTGCTCCAGCTGCACAGAGAGCAGAGACGTAAGATTCAGGTAGTGGTGAATCACCAAATTCTGAACAAAGATGAGAAAATACTGATGTTTCTATGATTTGGTATTGACCTTCCAAACAAGAAAGACTGAGTGGATGTTGAATGACTTTTGAAGCTGTAAAGTGTGGACAGTAGCAGCATGTGTTTTTATAGCAGGAGCCCTATTTAGCTGGAACATTAGCCAACTTAAGAACAACTGGACTTACATTGCAAAGAAAAGGATGCTTTGTCATAAGCAGAACAGTTAATAGAAAAAGATCCTGGATACCTTGGCTCAACATTTCAGACTGACAGAGAAACTAAGACACAGACATGTGTTTAAGAATTGTTTTCTTTATGTTTGCCTGTTTTTTTCTTGTGCTAGCAAAGGATAGTTGTCCGTCAGCTGAAGTAGTGTCTGCATACCTTTCATATGTTTATGAATAACTGCATTATAAATCTGAAGTGCCCAAGTGCAGATGTGTCAATGTGAGGTGGTCTCATCATTTTGAAGTTGAATTTGATCTCCATCCTGTAAACCTAAGCAGGGTCTTGGTGTAATTTCTGTTCAGATTCAGGGCATTCTAGATTCAGAGACCTGAAATGGCTCCATGTTGATATGTTTATGGAAGGGGTTATATGAATCTCTCTTAGTAAACTCAGCGACCCAGATGTCCATGCTGGTGCTGTGTTTAGTTCTCTTGACTTGAGATGTGTATGGGGCGCACAGGAATTGCAACCCATCACTCAAAATCCAAGTAGTATTACTGCTGTGTTAAGGTGATTAACGTGGATTTTTGTCTCAAACAGCTCTCATCAAGTGTCTCTCTGAGCTCTATAAGCTTTAATGCTTATGATCTGATCACATCTTAGTACTGGCAGAAGTTAGTGTCTGTACCGAAGAGATGAGGAAACTGTGCTAAAGAGAAAGGAAGTGACCTACTTAGAGTCGTAGAGGATGAGTGGGAGAGGGGAGGGAAACCCTGCGTAAGGAGTCTGGTCTCCTTTGTTTCAGTCATAGGCAATACTTCCCCCAGCACAAAGATGTGTTCGAGACTCTGCACCATAGACCCTGTTCTGATTCTAACTTCCCCTTTCCCTTCTCCCTGGGGGCTGTATTAAGAATAGTGTGAGAGCTGCACTTTCCCTAGCTGCTGTCTTGTGGTGAGGAACAAATGAGCATCGGTCAGCTGACTCCTGGTGCTCATTGGTATGCTAGGAGGGAAAGCTGGCATGCTGCAAGGAGCACTTTCTGCAGTCTGTAGGGACTGGGATGAGGAAGGACTTGAAAAAATACCTAGAAGGCACTAGGATCCAGGGAAGAAAGCCCTCCTGAATGCTACTTAGCTCTGATGCAGTCCTGCCTGTACTGGATGATCCTTCCTACTTTATTTCCTTGTAGCTTCTTCTCACCATGTACAAGGCTGGGCGTGTTTCAAAGACTCGGAGATTCTTACTCTATTTTCCATGTGCCTCCAGGGCTGAAAGAAGGTTTTAATTTGTTGTAGTATAATGATGAAAAATCTATTGGAGAAAAGTGACATAGTTTATTTAAAGCTGCTTGATCAGTCAGAGGCCAAGTTCGTGAGTATTGCCTCTCCTTGGAAACTGGCCTGTGAGGAAAAGGAGCTGTATGTTGCCAGCTCAGTTCAAAGTTCACATCAAATACTTGCAACAGTATCCTCTCTGAGTTTTAAATTCAGTATTATTAATTGTTGTTATTTAGCAACTACTTCGGAAGCAGTAAAAAGTTCCCCAAACCTGCTTGTACACTGTTAATGGGGACATGGTAACAAAATTAACCAAATAAATTGCTCTGAATCACATGGACTCTAATCCTTTCTGCATTTAGGAATTTCAGCACAGATTGTCTGCTGTGTAATGATGACTGTAGCTATGGGGTGGAGGCTACTTCAACGGTATTTGATCATTTGCTGTTAAAGAGTGTTCTAGCTTTGCCTCCACAGGAAAAAATCTCTTAGACTTGTTGCCTAGAGTAAAGGAGAAAGCAAAAGCAAGTGATTCCAAGGAACACAAGAATTCTAGGTAGGGAACTCTTTAATGTGAGCAGAACTCAACTAGCAATAAAATCATGATCTAAAGCCTCTAAGCACTTACTCTCTTAAAATGGGAAAACATAATGTCCTTGTGCATAAGTAGATGAGTTCACCTGCTTGTATAAGCTCTTTGAGGAGAGGCCATGAGAAGGAGGTCTGCTGCTGCAACACACAGCCTTTTTCTCCCTGGCTTGCGCCTCACCCATCTTATGAAAAAATCTCTGTAAGGTTGCTGCATTACGGCCACCTCTGTCCTTGAGGCTGATAGCTTGACAGTTTGATGTGAAATTACTGTTCTGCCCTTTCTCTTCTTTCTTTTGCCATGAGGGATATCTGATCTGTGCCATAATACATCTCTCTCTTTTTTTTTCCTTGCCCCCATTATTTTCTTGCATTTTTGATCTGTCATGATAGGTTGCTTTTCAAAAATCAACTCCATCCTTGATTTTTGTTTTGCGGGGTGGTAGATGAAATGAAGAACCCAGTAAGTTAATGTTAGCTGATCTCTCTCTCTGCCATACTTAACACTTCCGTAAATTTTTAGGCCAGGGAAGAGCACTAACTCTTTGGACCTCTTGTATAGCATTTTCTTTTACGTTTTGCCTAGCAACCTTGTATTGAGACCTAGAGCTTTGGTTTTGACTGTATCAATCTTAAGAAACAAAACTAGTCATAATTAAAAGATATCAAGAGGATCCACAGACTCCCTAGGTAGTTTATTCCAGTAGTTAATCATCCTTGTTATATAATATGTGTTCTAATTTTGGCATACCTAGCTGCAGCTTCCCGGCATGGGGTCCTATTATGTGGGAGAGTGTCTCTAGCTTTCAGTTTTGTGGTTGTTTTCTATACCATCTACAATGCCACCTGAACTATCAGCACTAGTCTAGAATTGGACTTTGTCGATCTGTTGGGGAATCTGTTTTGTGAAGTAACATAGTAGCTGGTGGTTGTGGACTGACACAGAGGAGAAGATACACACCCTGACCTGCCCCCCCTCCCCATTTCTCTACCTGCTTCAGGAAGAGTAAATTATTATTTCTGGAGAGTGTATGCTCATTATACTAGAGAATGAGACTATTATACTCAAGAGTTTATAGAAAATTTAGCTTGTTGCTACTGTTTGTAAGGCAATGCAACAAATTCTGAGGAATTCAAAATATAAATATTACTGTGGTATATACTGATAGACCCCAAGCTAACCTCAATGGAAAGTAAAGTATGGGTTTTGGCATGCATATAAGTGCTCCTGTATCCAGGCGGATGACACACTGTTTGTATTGATTTCTGATAAAGTCTCCACTATTGCCTTCTGATAAGTAGGTTTAAAGATGACAGATGTTGGTGCTTGCTATGATTCCAGTTTCATTTTGCTTCTAGTAAAATGGTGGCTGCTATACCAAGGAGCAGAAATATATTCTAACTACAATTCTGTTAAATTATTAGTTTTCTTGACAGTAATCAGAAGCTAATGAACACTTACTGCTTTTTCTGCAGCATAAAGAATGACCTGGTCCAAAACATCTGCTGCAAATATTTGTAGATTTGATGGAAGCAGGAGATATCATCCTTCACAGGAAAGTTTGGCATAATTATTCTTAGGACATAAAAATTTACAGCTCAGTAATTCTCCTTTCACAGATCTTGCACACTGAGATTATGTTAGTACTAGTAAGTTAAGAGCAGCAATGAACTTTCCCAGGCATTGGCATGCCATCACCTATGCTACAGAGCCATTCTGGTGTTTCCTGACACAACTTCTGTACTGTGAAATAGCCCTTGCACAATATTTTGGAGGCATAAAGAATTTGCTGTCCTGGCAGCAAGCATGCCAGTTAACCTCAGCACCCAGGAACATTTGCAGGCACATTTAATTTACTAGTATAAATGCAGCCTAAGAGACTCAGAAACTAGTAACACTCTGAGCCCGCAGAGTGAGTAGGAGAATGGGTCTTCTGTCATGTGGTAATAAGGCACCTTCCCCTTCCCAAAGCTCTCATATTCCCAAGTTTCTACTTTGGATTGCATAATGATTGAATTTCTTTTTTCACTATTTCATAAAGCAGATGAGAAACCATGTAAAATCTTTTCTACCAAGCAATGTAAAAATCTAATGCAATATTAACCTGTGAAAGAAGAGTATTTAATCAAGTATATGCTTTTTAAGCCAAAAATAATTTTTGCTTTTATTCACACTGCTGTTCTGCATAATTCTAGACATCTGTATTTAATAAACATTATAAAAAAATTTTAAAAAATAATATCATCATGACTTAGAGCAATCTGGGATAGTACCCTTGTAAGTATTGGCTCTTCTGGCAAAATTTAAGAGTTGACTTTGTTTTCTGTCCAAGTTTTTCAAGGAATGAGTCAGTCTTTCACATATTATTACTGATACATTAGCTTTGCTGAAATGACGTGCTTTTGTTCAGAACTGAACAAGGGTACCAACATGTTTCAAGATAGAATCTAGAAATTTTGTCTAACACATTCTCCTTGAATCAATATTGGTACTGCATTTGGTTGTTGTTATCTTTGGACAATAACTTTATTCAGAAGGCAGATGCTTATTTTCTTTTATCCACTGGAAGACCAATTATCTTGACATAAACTTTTTGATTTACTGGAGGTATTCACTGAAAACTGCTTGGTAGAAAAAAATGTATTCCAAAAAAGTATGTGCAAAAAGAAAAGCTCCAGAAAGTCTGTTCAGAATTATTACTTGTTACTGGAAGGTCTTCAGGAAAAAATACCCTAATTTTCCCCCAGTTCTCAGTCAACTTATTCCTCATTGATTTGCATCAAACTAGTAAGGAGATCCAGTCTTTGGCAGCCAAAGAGGGCTTTGGCAAGCTTTCCAACTGTAGCACCTTTGGAGCCTTCCCTCATTACCCACTTAAGCAGCATTTGGTAAACTTTTTCTTTTAGTCCATCTCGTTCATAGTCATGATCAATTTCATCAATCTCAGGATCACAGAAGCCCAGTTTACGAGCACAGTGCTTCCACTGCTTAGCCAACTTTTCTCTCACTAGATTCAGATGTTTCTCGGTCAGGACAGTAGTATTGTCTGCAAAAAGAGTGTTAAGAAAATGTCATTATTTAATGTTTCTTCTGCTCCTTTCACTATCTCACCTATCCTCCCACAACTATTTCTTGGTAATAACTGGAGACAGAATTTTAGGGACACAATCACAAGTTGGTTTCATGGAGGCAGTATTACCCAGTGATGCCAGGAAAGAAACTCCCAGTGAGAACACCTGCATTGTGGTCAGTTGCTGGGCTTGCTTTTTGATCTGAGGCCATTACAGTTTGTCACTTAAACCTGCAAAATTGAAAAGCTCCTTCCTAGAGTTCTTATATCATACAGACATCAGTCAGCTGTATGTTTTACATTCTGGGACACTGTTTGTTTACTTAGGAAAACACAGGGATAGTTTAATTCAGTATTGACCAACAAAACAAATTACATTTCAAAACCTCCTGATTTCTACCTGAATGAAGTGGTTGTGGCCCCAAGCCTGTCACTGTTGAAGAAGCATTTGGACAATGCTCTTAGATATATGGTTTAACTTTTAGGTTTCCCTGTGTGGTGTCAGGTGCTGGACTCAATGGTCTTCATGGGTCCCTTCCCACTCAGGATATTCTATGACTTAAACTACAAGTCAGGTGAGGACCACCAATTGTAACCTTGCTTCTACCAATTTCAGTGTTGTTAATCCTCTTGTTCTTGATGCATATGTATCTATACTTGTATTTGGTGTCTCACAAGAGGTCATAAAACTACAGGACAAATGAGGTACACAGTATTACAGAACAGTATTAGCACAAATCCTTACTTGTGCTGTACGCTCTTAAGTATGTAGTAGAAACAGACCCAAACAGTTATTTCTCAAGTATCAGAGGGAGAAAGCTGTATTGCTTTCATACATTGCAAACCAAATGATTCTCAGATAAATATATGGAGACAATACATCAAAACTAGGAAGATATTTCTCTTACCAAATATACCCATTGCTTCATAATGCATGTAAGTAGCTTCTGTAACAACAGGAGAAGTGCTGATGTGTTGATTGTGCTCTTCAATCTTCATGTGATTGTAGGATCCGATTTGAATTCCAGAGCTGTTACTTATGTTGTACTTGATTGAATCTTCTGTATAAGGGAATTTAATACAATTTTTAAACACTTGCATATGGTTCAAAATGTCAAGAAGTAACATACAGAGGAGGTAAGGAGGAAGAAAGTTCTGCCAATAAGGGAAGTGACTAAATGTTTTTATTGCATTTAATGTAGAAATGGCCATTTACTGGCAACTGTGAGCATTTTTTCAGTATGCAGTGTGACACAAACGTAGCTTAGTGAAAGCCCATCCTATTCTATTCTATGACAAAGTGCCATAAGCAAGCCTTACATGCTTATGTAGTTACTAGACTGTAAATAAAGTTCTCCGTGCTTCAGGAATGTGCAGTAGCAGCCTCGCTTTTTGTTGGCTAAGAGCTTCAGGAGGTCAGTCTTTACGTGAAAGCACTTTTCATTTAAATCTTAAAGCCTTACTTCTGCCTCTCAGCTTTACTTTTCATAGACGTAAGTTCAGGTTTAAGTCAGTTATTACTTCGAAGTTCTGTGAGACTACAGAAAATCATTTCTAGTTGCTCTGAAGGTTTCTATACTTTCTACGTTATACTATGTTGTCTTGATGGCACCTCTCTGTTTCACAGTGTATTTCATCCCTGCTATCTAGGAGGTATATTCTTCAGTTGTATCTATTTTCACAGTGAATCACAGTGCACTACTTGCTCAGTGTTTGTTTCAGCAACATTTCTCTTTTTTTTTTTTTTTTTTAATTCATTCGCCCCCCATTCTGTACTTTTCATTCTAAGGCAAGACTAGAATGTTTTCTGAGATACCTTACCAAAAAACTCCTGCTCTTTTATTTTCAGGCCTGAATCCTCAGCAATAAAAGCCAACATGTACGTGCACCAATTGCACAGCTAAACTGCATGCACCTCTGGGAGCTTGCATCTGTGGCTTACTTGTATGTAATTAAACACCTAATTTTGTGTCTTTTGCTTACAGTTGTCCAATTTCTACACATGAAACTGAGTGACTATTCTAGTCATGTTAGAAAACTGATGTCACCTATTCTCTTGACAATGTTTTCTGAACTCTGTTTCATAATAATCCATTAAATGTTCTAGCTCTAGTTTAAATGGTGAATATCACAAGCTGGGTCTAAAATGGAAGTACAGATACTTAAAATGACAGGCCAAGCTCTGTATTTAATCACCCAAAATGGTTAGATGCACAAACATCCTTGTTACACACTCAATTGCAATATGAAGTGTGGAAATCTATGGTCAAGTACGAAAATCTGACTAAATGCATTTAATAATTGTTAACCTGAAACTGCTAGTCAGAAATACTTATAGGTATGCATGATTAGTTTCTAGAAGTTGCACAGAAGGAATGCATTTTATCATGTCTCAAAATACTATGATTCCTATGTCATTTTCTTTTTTTTTTTTTTTTTTTTTTTGATGTGAAGGACCCAGGAAATATGTTCATATTTTTTGGCTAAAAAATGAAGAAATCACGTTTGCTATTTTCTTACCTGGTAAAAAAATGAATGTAGCACAAGATATGAAAACATGTACAAATGCTTTGTCAATATTCAAGTAAAAGTTACTGTGCTTATAAATCTCTTTTCCCAAGCCTCTACACTTTGCTTGCTTGTCGTGTTTCGGTCATCTAAAGACTCTAAGGGGCGTATAGTCAGGAAGACAGAAACCTGCTGTTTCAAGTTTCCTTTGTAAGTGTAAACCACTTACAAACTGGACAAGCCTTGAAAAGCTTAATTAAAGAGTTCACGGTGCTCAAAGCAACACAACTTGAAAGGAGCATGTATTAAAAACTCCTGAAGGACAGGGCAGAATTTCAGGGATTTAAGATGGTTGAACTGTAGACACTTGTGCCCCAAGGAAGGCTCATCAGCACAAAGCCTGCAGCTAAAGTTTTGTATTAAAAATCCAGATCAAGAAAGGACAGGTGTGCCAAATGCATGTGTGGTTCAAAAGCTGGGTAGAATCACAGCAACTTGGATGCTTAATCTAAGAAAGTAACTGGTTTAGGTGTACAGGAGATCTTACAATGCCTTCATGTTTTTGAAAGCTCTTTTACATAAAAGATGATGTCCTTGATCCATCAAATACAATATTTAATGTGTGTACAGGTCCTTCTAGAGACAAGAATTAGTTTTACAAACTGGTACTGACAACTTCAGCTATGGTTAGAGCTATTAAGCAACAACATAAATTATTTCAAGATCCTGAAGTTTTTTGCTTTACTGATCAGGATGCAATCCACAGCCTGTTGGCTGCCAGGATGGATAAAGGCTACAGCACTTACCTGTGCTTCCTTTGGGTGCAGTAGGATAATATGTAAAAGTTCCCCTTGTGAAAGAAGTGGAATCCTTGTTACCTAAACAGAGGGAAAACAAAAAAATGCCAAAAGCATTATGTAAATGAAAAAGCAAATGTACTTAAAAATGACTGCCGTATTTGTAACAGTATGAGTACGTAATTTGTGCTCTTAAATACAAAGAGATGAGAAGCTTTTTAATTAACAGGATTGTATCTCCTTGAATAACTCTTGTTAAAGCAATGACCTCATTGTGGTTTTGCTCAGTGACTAATCGCTCTAACAACCTTGGATCCCAGTGAAGGCAATGGGCTTCCACATGGGTGTATGAATACCTGGCTAGTAGACAGCAGAGTGGGATTACAGTGTACTGCAGTTATGGACTGCGCTGCTTCGTATCGGGGATTCAAATCGGAAAATTCCAAACTCCAAAGTGTGCTCCTACTGCTTTACTGCTGAGACTGATTGTGGTTTGTGTTGGCATGCCGCCTGTGACCTGCTCTAGCAAAGGCATGGGACACCACTGTCTTTTGCTGGTGGCAGTAAAGTCCAGCAGAGATGTAACTTCCTGCCCAGGGCAGTAATCGATCTGGATGCCCACAGATAAGCTCTGCAACTTGTGACGGGGCAGTAAGAGTGACTGAGTTATGGTCACCCAATAAGTCAATGGAACACCTGCAATGCAGCTCTTCTGCATCTCAGTCTGATACCTGCCATACTATTGCATGCAGCCTCCCTATAATGACTGTTTTCTTTTTTTTATTTCAAACAGAAGATTTTACTTTATTAGTGATGTCGACAGTTCTAATCTCTGCCTTCTGACATGACAGCTCTCAGATTCATTTCAGTAAATAAACTCACATAAACAACTAATCATAGCCTCTGCATAAATAATTTAACAGAATAATACCTTTGTGGCATTCTGCCTGTAAATAGCTAGGCATCCTTGATTTTCTTGTGAGATGATCTGGAAAAGAATGCCACGCTAAAAATATCCAATATTTAGTAGAAGCAGGCTGACGTATCTCATGCTATCTCTAGTTTCTAAAAGTTACATCTTCCAGGCCTCTAGTTACCATTTATTTATACTTTTTGCCAGTGCTCAGTGTTCCCTTCCTTCTTTGTCTCCATACCTTTCTACTCCACTAGCTCACTAGCAAATACTGACAGAAGCTCCCCATCAAAACCAGTTATGAGCCTTAGCTCCTTGTTGGCTCCCTGAGCTTAGGATTCTCTTATCTTGCCGCAAATGAAGCTAAGAATACCCATCTATGCTCTGAAATGCTACAAATGTTGTTTCTGCACAAGCAGAACGTATGGTATGAATGTTACATTTTTCAGAGTCAAAAGTTCTCCTTTGCTTCCTAGAATGATTGGTAGCAGCTCTTGGTTTTGGTAGCTGCTGTAGCAGTATCTGCTGTCTGCTATTACTTGGTTGACAGCTGAAGAGTTCGGTATTGGGTCTGATGCTCCTTTCTTACTCTGATGCTTTAGAAATGGTTCACTTGAAATAAACAGCCTGAAATCAGTGAAAGCAGCACAACAAAGTCAAAGCTAGTGTTTTAGTGACCTGAAGTAACTTCAAGTAAACAAAGAGAACTTAATGAAATAAATTCACCTTTGCTGTATCATAGATCAACTGTTAGCAATAAGCAGGTGGTTGTTACATAAACTACAAAACACTCTTGGCCACTTCCATTTTTAGAGAACAAGTGTGTCGTCAGAAACATAGGTGTTGGGAGTGGAGGAATCTCACCTGTATCTGTGTCTGCATTCTTTGGATACCAGTTTACGTTGGTCTGTGACTGCAGGTTTGAGCCAGATTCAGGCACAGGAGGTTTACTTAGGCTAAAGGCACTTGCTGAACACAATCCATACAGATCCTCTGTGTGTCCCATTAGAAGACTGTTAGCGTTTAAGTTAGGTTTAAGCCCATAAAAAATATCTAGATTTCCCTGTTTCGGTGGTTTTGCAGCTGGCTGTGGCCAAAAATATGGATTAGTGTTTGATCCTGTTTTTTCAGCTCTTGGATACAGTTCATTCCATTGAGGAGTAGGAGATGGCTTTGCAAATGGATCATAGGAAACTCTTCGTCTTCTTTCTTCCTCTCTCATTTCAGGGGTGTATACTACAGGTGGAACTGCTTTATCCATCCGGCTGCCGAATACGTGGTAGTTGTATTCACACTGAAGTTTTCTTTCTAGATTATCAGGAGATGTAAATGAGGTCTCACAGCTCTCAACAGGCTGGTTCCCAGGGTAGGCAGCAAACAGGGCTTCATTAACATGACTGGTCATGGGACCTTGAGAGCTATGTAGAGAATTAGGCTGATCTGAAAGGAAAGAAAATTAAATCTTTGAAATGCATCCAAATGCAAGTACATAACGTTTTGCAATGACACTAGAATCTGTTAATCTACCATTAATATTATGGTAATATATAAAAGGTGAAAATATAAATGCTCTCTGTGATGAGTGGTGTCCCTCAGAGGTCTGCATTGGGACCAGTTTAGTATCTTCACCAATAACATAG